GCAGACATAGTGGTACTCTTTGCTTTCGGTTCCTCCAGGTTGTTCAGTTGTCTTGTAGTGGATTCCGGTAGGGTCAGTGTCGGATGTGGAGCACCCGTGCGGGATCTCGGTGCTAGATCTAGCACCGAGTGGTAGTCTAAGCTCTAGCTAGAGCTTTAGGTGTGGTCTGGCCCTTTAAACTCTTGATTCACGAGCGTGGCATATTGCCGACACTCGGCCTCCGTCACATCACGCCACTCGCCGGCTGGAGCCATGTCCTTGCACAAGGGATTTGGCGCTGTGTCTCCTGACGCATCTGGCGTAGATGGCGCAACCTCTTTGTAGTCCGATAGCTGCTGCGCGAACACTGTAGTCAACATGCCCGCGAGCGAAAACACTCTCGCCATGAAGGCCATGGTTGCGCGAATGGCAAAGCGCGAGGATGTAAGGAGGGAGGCAGAAAATGAACCCTGCCTCGAGCAAGTCGACTTAAGCCACAACTGCGAATTACGGATGCTGATGTAGACATCATGTGAGCGCAACCAGCGGCTGTCTGCCAGGCTGTGAGGAAGTCGGAAATCAAATAGCTAAAAGGCTCAAAACACCGATTCGGCCGAACCGAACCGGGCCGAACCGAACTGGCACGAACCGCACTTTTTTATCAACAAGAACTGAACCCGACCGGAACCGAACGATCCAATTTTGAACCGAACCGAACCGAACCGGAATCGATTTCGAACCGAACCGGGCCGACCCGGATGGAACCGCTACGAACCGGAGGTCTCCAAGGCCCTGATTTCGCAAGTCTCGAGGCCGTTCGGCCCCGAGGCCCCCCGGGGCCCCTCGGGGCCCCTCGGGGCCCCGACTTTGCGAGTCCCCGGAGGTCCAGAGAGGCCCCCCGGGGCCCTGATTTTGCAAGTCAAGGATGCATTTTGCAAGTCCCGGAGGCCATTTTGCAAACCCCGGAGGCCATTTTGCAAGTCCCCGAAGCCATTTGGCAAGTCCTGCCTAGATGGGCGGCGCAACTGTTAGATGTTGGTATTGATAGTGGGAGATGTATCTTAGTTGTAAGGGCCTCATATCATCTAGTATCATATTGCATCATATCGCAGCATCGCGCAACATCCTAAATCTTCGTCGATCATCTTCGCGCTCCACCCCCGATTCTGGGGCGCGATCCCGCAGATGCGCCGTCGCATGGACACGTTCCGCGAAGGCACTGGCAAAAGAACATCCCACATCCACGGGGCCGCGGCCCAGGGGTCCGGCCCGCGAGGCCGTGGATACGAATACTCTTTCCGCCCAAGACCGAAGGGGCCCCAGGACACACAAACAAATACACACAAATAAAAAGATTCCCCATATTTTCCTACATTTCCTGGGAAATCGAAGATTCATTGTGTCTGTGTGTTTCTTTTCCTCCTGAACTTTTTCCGCCCAAGACATCTCCCATCCCTCCCATCCACCCTGTGCTCCGCCCTCCCCAAAAGAAGCAAGCGGCACGAGCCGAAACCTCCAGAGGCCCGCGCGGAGTTCTCGGATCTGCGGCGAATCCCCCTCCCCTGGAGGCGCGGAGCGCGCCAAGGGTGGCACCAAGAGGCGCCGACGCGGGGGTCGAGCGCGAATCCAAAAAGACCGCACGGTCCTTCGTAAGGTTTTGCGTGTGCCCTTTTCTGGCCATCGCTCGGACGTCCATTCCCTGTGCTTGTTTGCGTGTTTTTTCGCCAAATGATCAAGGATGCTCCTCGATGGTCCGCGCCGAGAACAAATGCACACGTCCGAGCGATGCCAAGTTTTGGTTGCTCTTCGACCCCCATCGCTGTGCTGCTGCTCCTGCTTCCTCCTCCTCGGCGTCTTTCTCTCGGCTGGGCGTGCTGACCACCTACCGGACAACCCCAAACCAACCCGAATACCATCCAACCCAACCCATTGGGGGGGGGCGAGCTTCAGATGTGTGGTTTTCAATGTTCCCCGCCCCCCCCACCACTGGGAATTGAGGAAGAATTGGGACCTGTTGTTTGGGTTGGGGTGATTTGGTGGGTGGTGATACGCTGTTGATGCAGACATCATGTGTTGTTGCCTCCTAAACTCTCCCGACGATTACGCCAGATTATCCCGTCAAAGCAACCTAACAGCGATGTGTAGGAGCATGTCTGGATGCATTCCCCTTACGATTCAGATGAGAATCCAGTTGTAGAATTCTGCTGTTCTCGCAGTCGTAGTCGCATTCGCGATGACAGTCGCAGTGGCAACGGCAGTCGCAGTCACAGCCTCAGCCTCAGCCTGCCTCGGCCTCCGTCTCAGCCTGCCTCAGCCTCAGCCTGCCTCAGCCTCAGCCTCAGCCTGCTTCAGCCTCAGCATCAGTCTGCCTTCAGCCTCGGCCTCAGCCTGCCTCAGCCTCAGCCTGCTTCAGCCTCAGCTCTCAGCCAGCCTCAGCATGCCTCAGCCTCAGCCTCAGCCTCAGCCTCAGCCTCAGCCTCAGCCTCAGCCTCAGCCTCAGCCTCAGCTCAGCCTCAGCCTGCTTCAGCCTCAGCCTCAGTCTGCCTTCAGCCTCGCCTCAGCCTCAGCCTGCCTCAGCCTCAGCCTGCATCAGCCTCAGCCTCAGCCTCAGCCTGCCTCAGCCTCAGCCTCAGCCTCAGCCTCAGCCTGCCTCAGCCTCAGCCTCAGCCTGCTTCAGCCTCAGCCTCAGTCTGCCTTCAGCCTCGGCCTCAGCCTCAGCCTGCCTCAGCCTCAGCCTGCATCAGCCTCAGCCTCAGCCTCCTCAGCCTCAGCCTCAGCCTGCCTCAGCCTCAGCCTCAGCCTGCCTCAGCCACAGCCTCAGCCTGCTTCAGCCTCAGCCTCAGTCTGCCTTCAGCCTCGGCCTCAGCCTCAGCCTGCCTCAGCCTTACCCTGCATCAGCCTCGGCCTCAGCCTCAGCCTGCCTCAGCCTCAGCCTGCCTCAGCCTCAGCCTCAGCCTGGTCGCCCCGCCGCGCGTGGTGCCAGCACGGGTGAGGCCCTCGCCCCCGTAGACCAGCGGGGGGGGGGGCCTTCCTTGTGTAGTGGCGGAGAGGGGGTCGCCCCTCCTTGTGTAGTGGCAGGGAGGGGGTCGCCCCTCCGCACGCAGTGCCAGCAGGGGGGTCGCCCCCCCGCATGTACTGCCTGCGGAGGGGTGCGCCCTCGCCCCGTAGACCAGCGGGGAAGGTCGCCCCTCCGTGCGCAGTGGCAAAGAGGGGGTCGCCCCTCCGCGCGCAGCACCAGCAGGGGGTGTAGCTGGTCTCCAGATGTTCCCCGTCAGGTTTAGCATATGGTTAGCTTGTCATATTTCACCCGTTGTGACACGATTGGCTCAAGGGAAAAGCATCTACTGCCCCTGCTGCTGCCACAGTTGGTAGCGGAGCCTGGTGCGGCGGGCGGCCATGGGTGGCGGCGGGCATCCCTGAGGGGGTGAGCCCGGCCGCTGCTCGCGAGCCCCCCGCTGTCTCCGGGCTCGCGCCGACGGGGCGGCGCGGCACACGGAGATGCCTGACGATAGCAAGAACGGCAAGGACGACGACAGCAAAGGAGTGGCGGGTTTCTCGGAGACCCCGCCGACAGCGCCACCAGCGGCGACAGGATCGGCAGAGGGGACTCCAGGAGCTGTGACCCTGTCAGCTCAGCAGCTGACGGAGCTGGTAGCTGGAGCAGTCAGACAGGCCATGCAGACGGTCACATCAGCAGGGCCTGCAGCCAGCAGCTCCCAGGGTCAGGACGAGCCCAAGGATGGCGGCTGGGACCCCTGGCGGGAGAGTGCAGAGGCAGCAGCAGGCGAAGATGATGCCGCCCAGGGTTCCCACCGCTGGCATGGTCGGAAGGACTACGACCAGCAGAAGGACGACTGGAATGACAAGGAGTGGAAGGACGACAGCTGGAAGGACAGCCGCTGGAAGGACGACCGCCAGAAGGACGCCCGGACGGACGGCGCGTGGAGGGACTACGACACGAGCTGGCAGCGGACGTGGTCTGCTCCAGGTGCTGGCGGCGGAGGCGGCGGCTGGTACGGGAAGGGGGACTACAGCGACCCCCCCTCCTGGCCGGGCTGGTCGCACTACCGCGCCTGGCGCAAGGCCCTCCGGAGGTGGAACACCAACACGGACGTTCCTGTCTGGAGGCGCTCAGAGAAGTTCCTTCGACTGTTCGAGTGGACGATGCAGACGCAGTTCGACAACATACCAGAGAGTACGTTGACCAGCGACGAGTGGATAGATGTGGTGCTGAAGAAGATGGACCTCATGATCGGCGAGCGCGAGGGGGATGACCTCCGACGCAGTGGCAGGCGAGCTCTGTATGAGGCCTCCCGCGAGCCGAAGGAGACCCTCACGCAGTATGTAGCGAGGCGCGAGGCACAGTTCCTCGAGGCCGAGGGACACGACCTCATCCTCTCGTCCAAGATCAAGGGGTTCCTGCTCGAGGAGGGCTCCGGGCTGAGCGCCCAGAGCATGCAGAACCTGAGGACCCTGACGCTGGGCAGGATCGACTTCGAGAGCGTGAGCTGGGCGCTCCGACAGATGGACGCATCCGGGACAGAGCGGATGCTTCCAGGAGGTAGGCAGGCCTCTCTGCTGGCCGGCGCCCAGGCCGAAGAGCCGGGCGAGGCTAGCGGCAGCTCTCCTCTCCCCTCATACCCGGTCGGTTCGTCGGAGGTCGGTCCGGACTCTGGAGCGGACGAAGAGATGGAGCCAGAGGACGACGACTACTACGACGACGGGGAGGACGAGGCGGCGCTCCTCGCAGAGCTTGAGGACCTGGACCTGGACGAGGACCAGATCGACGAGGCCTTGGCAATGATAGAGTCCAGGCCCAACACTCGCACGTGGAAGCAGAACAAAGATATGAAGCGTGCGGCCCGTCAGGACCGCGAGTACTTTGGACGACCACGGTCCGGAGTACCTCCTCCTCCCCAGCCTCGAGCAGGGCAGGGCGAGCGTGGACGCACCAGCACGGGGCGCTTCGGCCAGGGTCGAGGCAAAGGCGCTGGCCGTGGCGTGCGCAGGCGCCCGCAGCT